ACACACACACACACACACACACACACACACACACACACAGAGTTTCCGAGAGGTTCCTAGAAATGTGCAGCTAACGCGGGGCGGGTTCCTCCTCCTCGTCCCTCCGAGGCTCTCCGACAGCTTCCCGCGCCCTCCGCCCGGACTGAGATGGGATGAAATGGGATCATTCATGTCGACGAAGACCGGGGTGATTCTTGCAATAACTGGCTTTGGTAAGACCCGCTCATCTCGCTCCGAGCTGCTGAACAGAAGGCTGTGGGGTTTTTGTGTGGATGCAGATCTTTAGCTCGGGACCGATGCTTACATTAGACCTGGACCTGGACCACGGCCAGCTGGCTGGACTACAACAACCTGACTCACATCTGGTCCCTTCAAGCCTCAGAGCATGCATACCTAACAATAGAAACATGTGGACCTAATTTGTCCTGCGGTATATTCCAACATCATTTAAATTTCAAAAACCCCATAACAAAAAAACTGACACTCCCCCAATCCACGCTTCCTTTTTTATTTTAATTCCCTTTAATCTAAATTTTTAATTTTTGCTGTTCAGCGTTTGACTACATCTGCCAGTTTCTGATGATGATTTAAATGATTTTATGCAAATGCTGCTTCATAAGAAAACATTTCATCACTTGTCTGCACAAATATTTGCTCCTTTCTATTTTGGAGCAGTAGTCTGCAAACAAACAATATCCAACCTGCTGCAGAGCTGGAAGTAAGTAAAGCAAAGTCACACATTTCACTGGTGGTGCTTTTAAAAATGTGTAAGCTGCCAATGCCATATGCACCAATGCAACCCTATACCATCAGAGAGGCAGGTTTCATATCTGTGTCGATGTCAATTTATTTGTACAGCAAGCAAAAACAACTGAAGTTGACCAAAATGCTTCACAATTCAGCCAAATGAGCGGATAACAACAAAGAAATGTTCAAAACTAGAATACAGATATAGAACATGGGAGTATCAGCTCTAAAAGAATCTCAAACTCTGCCAGAATCAAAAGCCAAGATGTAAAGATGGATCTTGAGTATAGATTTAAAAGTCTGAACGATTTGTTAAAAGGTAAATCATTCCCAGTGGTGGGCACCGTTCCACTAAAGCACTAACAGGGGAACTAATTTCCTGATCAGTGCTTTAGGGCTTTTGCTCATTTTAAAATTTATTAGTGGATTACCATTTGCTAAATATATAGGCTAAATTTAGAAGCACTAACTGAGGTCTATCAGCTGGTTCGGATGTTATCAGTCCATTAAATGGCCATTATTAGCGGTTATCAGTCCCATAGACTGGCTTCAGTCTGTCCCAACAGTGCCCCCTAGTGGGTTACCAGTGCCATATACGTTGGAATGCAACAATCTGCTACCGCCTGAGTCCGGTCTACTTTATCGTAGCCCATGTCGTTTTCTCTAAAACTAACCTTAGTGGCTTTATGCCTCATATTAACCAGCTGACAGTCTGAAGCCATTCTATGGGACGGAGAACCCACTAGGCGGCACAGTAGGGACAATCTGAAGCCATTCTATGGGACTGATAATGGCTAATAACGTCCATTTAATGGATGATAACATCCGAAGTGGGTGGGTCTATAAATGTTATTGATCAACATTAATGTTAACAACTGAGGGTGAAAGCTGTCACACATTTTGTTCATAATGTGTCACTTATCCACCAGGTGACAATATAGGAACCCAAATACAGCTGTGGAATGTCAATGATAAGTCTTAAGAGAGCAACATGACAATATGTGACTCATGTCGTCTGTTGAAGAATGTTCATGTGTTGACTGGGTTATTTTAGTGTTTTAGAATTAGCTTTTGCTAAAACTTTCATTGCATTAGTGCTTAGAATTAGGGGACCTAAATATTTGAGTTAGTGTTTTAGGGCAAGTGGAACGAACTTTTAGATTAATGCTGCCCACCACTGATCATTCCACATGTTTGGGGCAGACACTGCAAAAGCCCGATGCCCTCTGAATTTTAGCCTGGATCTAGGAACATCTAAGGAAAAGCGTGATTGGATGACAGAAGCTGTGATGATCATAGAGGTATGATGAGGCCAGACCTTTTAGAACTTTAAAAGTGAGTAAAATATTAAAATCTATCCGAAAACAAACAGGAAGTCAAAGAAGAGAAGCCAGAACCGGAGACATGTGTTCCTAGTACCTGTTAAAAGACGAGCAGCTGCGCTCAGCACGACTTGTACAGATGGAGAGAAGACAAAAATAAAACGTATTTCAGTAATCCAACTGACAGGTAATAACTTTTTCTGTGGTCAGGAGATAGGACTTCAACATACTGTAGCAATAAGTCTTAGATGAAAACTTGATTCTTTCTTTTTCTGTTGTTGCAGTGTTCCTGCTCCTCACAGTGCCTGGGGCCTCTGCAGATGTGAAGTGTGAGAATGTTTATCGGGACTTCTCTAACTGCGTCCTGACACTGGGAGAGAGCATGGACAACTACCAGGAGAACGTGACCAGTGAGAGCGGAGTGGCTGCGGTGTGCAGGTGAGCCTGAGCTGGATCTGGGTTTGCACGTGTGTACCTGAATCAGCATCGTTCACAACACAGGAGTTCGGTTTGATAAAGAATATGTGGCACTGATGGAGATGCATTTGCATTTTGTTAGGAGCTACTTTAGAGGCAGAGCAGATGTTATCTTTAAGGGAGAGCAGAGAAATGAACGGTGTTGAGACACTGAGCCGTTCTGTTTAATATTTGATGAATTTGCAGCAGCTGTAATAAAATTCTGGGAACTTCTTTTTTTTGTGATTGTTTCAGCTGAAACTCCACGTCCCCGGCAGCGTATCGAAGACAAAGATTTGCACTTCCAAGCCTCGTGTTGAAAATTGTCCACTTGTAATATTATGTGTGATGTTGTTTCGCTCAGTGATGCAGTTGCCATGGTAATTAAAGGCTCAGTTTTGACTTACTTGAAGCCCAGTTAAGACATCTGAGCGATGGATTATTGGCAAACAGATTAATCCACGACAGCCAACACGAGAGCTGTCGTTGATGGTGTGTGTGTGAGAGGCAGATTCTGATGTGTTTTTTTTTTTTTTGTTTGTTTCACCGCAGCCACTGGGAAGCTTTCCACACGTGTGCCCTCACGGCGCTGTCCGACTGCAAGGAGGAGGTCAGCTCCATCTGGGAGACCCTGAGGCAGGACTCCAGGAAGATCCGCTTCCAGGGAAGTCTGTTCGACCTGTGCAGCCCCAGCTCCTCCCCCCGCATAGCTTTGCCTTTTGCTGCTCTCTTCCTGTCACTGGTGCTGGTCGTGTCAGGGCCCGGCTGGTCCCCCGTATAGACGGGGCGTAGTGCACGTGGGGCGGGGGTGAGACGGAGGGGTGGGGGTCCTAGTCCACGAGTTTCAGTCCTGCTGAACTCAAAACTTAAAGCCAAGGATTTWAAAAAAAATGTTTTAAAGGATTATTTTGATGCAGAGCTACACACGTTCTATGGCAGGACAATCAATATAATATTTGTTTTTTGATGATTAATGTTTGCAGATTAAAGCAATCAGACAATTGATTTTAAATGTTGTCAACCGCCTGTGACTCTGGGCTGCTAATAAACACGGGTTAGACACATTTCTGTACAACAGCTAAATCCAGCTCAACCCAACATGGCCTTCAGTGTTTACAGCTTGTGGATTCAGCCCTAAAGTATCATAACAGACAAAAACTGGTCCTCTCTCTGTTGCCGACACTGTTCACCATCGTGAAAAGAATAATTCATCATTTTAGAGCAACGATACTTTGTTTAGATTAAAAGCTACARCCAGGCAACACAGAAAGTTGCAGGTTGTCATTTTTATACGTGTGCAGTGGTGGACAAAGTACTCAACTCTAGTACTTGAGTAACATTATTGATATTCAGGGTCAAATCTACTCAACTACAAGTAAAAGTTGCTCCGTCAAAAATCTACTCAAGTTAAAGTACTGAAGTTTGAAAGTACTCAAGTATTCAAAAGTAGCCACAAATAAAATTTTCTAATATCAGTACATTGCTGTAGTTTTCAGAGTGAATATACAGAGCCTTGTAACTCTCAGAAACCACCTGATGTATCGACACATAGAACCACTGTGGTAAAAATTCTACACCACCTGTAAAGACTTCAGCATAAAAATACAATAAAGTGAGTGGTGAGTTCTTAAATGCAGAAATGTAGTTTATCCACAGTGAACATAGAAGATGTTTAAACTGATACAAACTATTTTTCAGTCCTAAAATCTCAAACATGGAGCTGAGATATGGAGGCATTGGTTTCTCTACTCTCTTCAACCATCTTCTCCATTGCTGGGTTCTGTTTGAAATGAAGGTGGAGCTCAGCTCGCAGCCGTTAATGAAGATGATGTAATTCCAAAYCTTTCCTAGATGTGAGCTACGACTGTGACTGGTTCCCCTTGTGAGGAACATAGCGTGTAGCCAATTGCATTTCAAGAAAGAAAAACAGCAACAGCTGATTACAAAGCTATGATGAACCAAAAGCAACGAGAAATGTAGTGGAGTAAAAAGTACAATTTTTGTCTTTGAAATGTAGTGGAGTGAAAGTCATAAGTACCCCCCAAAATAATTGCTCAAGTAAAGATACTCAAAAAAATGTACTTAAGTACAGTACTCAAGTAAATGTACTCCATTACTGTCCACCACTGTACATGTGTAGAACTGAAGCTGCAGCTGATCATTGAAAGTGTTTCCTCATATTTCTGGTGCCAGTTTTACCAACGTTTTGCCTCGAGGCAATAGTATAGTCTTGAAACTAAATGAGCAGGTGAACATTAAATAACACGTGGGTCAATTCTAAAACAAGACTAAGTGTTTTTTTTCCTAAACCCAGGAAAGCAGTTCTAATCTAAAATGTTTCAGCAGTATTTCTTATCCATTGCTAATTGCTGTCAATTTTCCACAAAGAAAATTWAAAAAAATCCATCTGCAAGGCAGAGTCTTTCTACAAAATCAAATCTTCACAGTTTTGATGCATGCTGGTTGTCTAAAAAGAAAAATCTCTGCAACAAAAATAACAAAATGGCTGAAAAACTTTGACGCGCAACTGTTGTCCAGTAAAACTGATGTGACATTCACTAACCTGAACACACTGACACTGGGATTAGAATAGAACACTGTTGATGCACATATTCTGTGTCCAAAAATACAACGACAGCGCTCAATAAAATGGACATTTTGGCTTCAATTTTCAGCAACAGAGGAAGCCAGAGAGRGTTAATCTATCTTTATTAATGTCTACAGTACACTGAACTAAAATAAATCTAAGTTGCTGTTCCCTGGCTAATTGAATGATGCCAGCCACCGAACATTAAATATGTCTATTCCTGTTATTGGAACCCCCCCTAACACCACCTTTACTGTATCATGTGTGAAAAAGACAAAGGGCCACGCCTGATCCAAAAGTAAAACTTGTCACAGCACACATTCGGGTTCCCAGCAACAGACTCCCTGAGTCTGATTGATGCACACCTCACAGGGAGTGTGTTGCATTTTTAATGTACAGACAGGCTGCAAAATGTCAAACTGCTGGCGCATGTCAGGATCCAAACATCTCATCTGTTTGTGTGCATCCAGTATGGAGCCAAGCCATCATAACACAATCATTAAAAACATTTTTCTTTTAAATACAACAAATGAGCACTTTCCTTAAAGAAACAGCAGTATTAGAAAACCCCTCGCTCTCACTTATTACATTATTCATTGATAGGCAGAAAATATCCAGAGAAAAGTGTTAAAACACGTTTGTAAAGTACTATCCTCACAATGCCTTTCAAACTTTTGTTAAATTGCTATGATTTGTATTTTGTATATTTCTAACCTTTTTTGATCCCCACACTTCAACATTTCAGCCTTCAGTGGCTGATGTTGCACAGCTGCTATAAAGACACCAAAAACAGACACAACCTGCTCCTGCTTTTATTATCTCACAGCTCTTTATTTACAATATATTCTGTTCACCTACCGATATGTGCTTAATAGCTGAAGTGTGAATTTTTAGTTGCATATTTTCATCACATTATGTGTGAAATCACTCACCTGCAGTGATTTGGAATATTGAAACACGAGGTGGGGGGATGAAGCGACGACTTTGCAAAACAGAAATGTGTTGTAAAGCTGATTCAAAATAAGACAAATCCCTAAATGTTGATCACTGCTGCAAACCTGATCAGTTACTGTGCAACATAATAAAAAATTAGGAAAACCTAACCTCTTTGATTAACTAATAAATGATTTTGACACTTAAATGAAAGAAAACTTTTGCTTTTTTCCTCCCTCTAAAGCTTCAACCAGGAATTAGTTTAACCAGTTCAGATGCTGTGGTTTGTATCAACCTGACTGATATTTGGAGGTGATAACTTGTGCAGATTGTTGGCTTTAGAGGTACAGTTCTATTTTTTTTTCTTTTCTTCACAGCCCCTCTCAATTATGGGATTCCTCAGGGATCCCTTATCGGGCAATCAATATTTATTTATTATTTTAGGCAACAAAAGGTTCAATTAAGCACTGGTTATAGTTCTGATAACTATTTAAGGTAGTTAGAGCATTTTTGTTTGTTTTAGCACTGCAGTGCCCTTCGTAGTCCTTAAGTCTATGATTATTCGTTTTTTTTAGCTCCTGCTTTAGAGTTGGTGCTTTCTTGGCTCAAGTGATGAAAGAGGATGTGATTAGTTCATACATAAACATACTTTGATTGGCTGAGCAAACTAAAAGCTCTTCCAGCATCCTGATTAATAAAACTGCTTTCCTGTTGCTGAGGCACTGAACTGTCTCTGTTGTCGGCTATGATTGGCTTGTCTTTGAACGTGTGCAACACAAATTAGACAAGTTTTGGCTCCTGTGGYTCCTTCGTTTGAATGTTTGTGGCTTTCTTTCAAACTCCTCTTTAAAAAATTAAACCAAAGACCTGCAACACACTGCGCCAACTAATGCAGCATCCACTGTTGATGAAATGTCACATAAAGGACCATCAGCCAAGTGTTGCGCAATCACAGCGTTCCCCATTTGTGCAAAAGCTATAAGTCCTCCCAACTGTGTTGTAGGGTTAACAGTTCTTATAATCATCAGAGTCCATAAAAAATTGCTTCTTGTCTTTGATTTGTTAATAATATACAAGTCTATCTGCCTATTTGATCAAACAGCAAAACACCTCTGGTCACTATTAAACTGTTAGGATTACAGTTGAGCTGAACTTTCTTAATTTCCATGAAAACAGGACAGAAATCGGCAAATCAGCAACTAAACTGATGCAAAGATTCTCACAGCAGTTGACTTTCCAGATTCATTGAAAAACAAAAAGCTGCTCATTTTGTAAAAGTTTTTAAATAGCTCCGCTTTATTGAACTAACATTCTGTTCATTTTTATTTCTAATTGTTTTTATACAGTATATTATCTTCTTTAGTGAATCTGTAAAGCACATTTGTGAACTTTTGTTGTTTTTAAACGTGGTATACAGATTTGATATCATTCCCCTTCAATTTTTCACTACATTTAGAAGACACTATATGAGACATCTGTTTCTACCCGTACCGCTATTTCCACACTACAATTTTGCATTTCCTTTCTTTTGAACCTTGAGGGTCCTAACAGGCAATTGCAACGCTACTTGTATGGTCTTGAATACTTTCTGTCAAATACATTTCCTCACAGGTGCATGATGCTGTTTGTGACGATGCCTCAGAAAACTGGACTGTATTAGTTTCACCTTGGGGTCGAAGCGTAAAGTAATCTGTGCATGACGTTAGGCTAACTGCTGAGTTCCTCTCCACACATCCTAACGCCATCAGCATGTTCTGCTCGTTTCTGTTTATTATCCGTTTTAAAGTAGTAGTGTTCTGTCATCCATCGTGTGCCTGGTGGTAGGATTGCAAAAAAAAAAGTAAAATAAAAATTAAAAAACAGTATTGTTATTCTCAAAGCATGAGCAATATGTACCTCTTTGACGAGGACCCTCCTTCCTTTTTATGCTGGTGATGAAAGCATGATGGTGATTTTGATCATATGCCACTGTAATGAACTCTAATCACAGTTTGAACCTGAAAACAGTCCTGAATGTAAAAACAATGTGTTTCTTAAACACAGAGAACATTTACAAGACTCTGTAAAGCAATATATGGAAATGTAATTGTAACAATAAAGCACAAGAGGTTAAAACAAGTTGTGTGTCAGTTTATATAAGACTGCCTGCAGACAGCCCTGTGCTCCCTGAACTGTTCATTAATTTAAGTCTCCCTTTAATAAAAAGTTGCTAATCTTTTTCACTCATTAGTGCTCTACCATCTGCTTTTCTTTCCACCTGGATACTTCCTGCAGAGGCAGGAGTTGGAGAACGAGGGGTCACGGCCTCAGGAGGAGTAGAGATGTGCTCATGATGTGCATTTCATTAAAWTAAACTACTTTAGTCTGAAACATAAAGGCTCATTAAAATGTACCTTATGTTTCTTGTCTGTAAATTTACCTTTCACTGCTCTCTGAGACACTCTCCTCACTTCTTGTCCTATCCAAATGTGACATCCCAAGTTAACAAATGATGCTCATCTACTGCCAAATCAAAATGAGCTCAAAACCTTTAAGAGGACTGAGTTATAAACATTTTTGTGTTGGCTAATTTAATTGAACCATGGCGGCCATCTTTAACTGGATTGATTCTTTTTATTTATTGACCTTTATTTGCAGACAAATCTCATTGAGATCACAGCTCTTTTGTAAAGGAGGCCTGGGCCTGAAGGCAACTTATTGTACATGTTTTTGGTCTGTGGGGAAACCTGGAGAACCCAAAGAAACCTCATGCGTGAGAACATGCAAAGCCCACACAGCAAGACCCCAGTGCAAGTGGATCCATCCACATGCATCACTTCTTAGTTTTAGACTTATTTAAAATGTTCTCCCTGCTTTGTTTAGCCTCATTAATCTGGAGTATCTTGTGGAAAACTACTGTTTACAATAATAATATAAATATTTAAAATCCCGGTTGTAAAGCAACAAATCAGAAAGAAGGGGTGAAAACTTTTGCAACACTGTAATTTAGATGTTTTTAAATTCACTGCCACAGTTTCACTTTCTACACCTGGTGTCAAACTGTCTGCAAAATCCATAATGACGTGAAACAAAACAACGAGCTGAGTAGAAAGCAGGACAGGCTTGATTTTTAAAAATTGCCATATCAAGATAATCATGAAACTGAAAGCACAAGCTTTATCCAGAAATGTAAAAACAAGCCTGGTTTAATCACTCCTGATAAAAAGTTGTTTCTGAAGTGAGGAAACTGTCTTATTTTTGGGTTTAACACAACTGAATAGTCAGAAAACTCTGGTATTACTTAAAAATTAACTGAGAAGTGGCCAAAACACAAGATCACAGTTGTGTATGATAATTTGCACACAGCATGTCTATAATACAAGAACAAAGTGTTCTGGTTTGTTCACGTGTCAACCATCTGATATGTAGCACAAACAATGGTAATGTATTAATAATACAGAGCAGACACAGGTGTTACTTTAAAGCAAACATGTTTTCATAAATTACACAGTAATGTACATTACACTGAATACTGTTCAACATTTAATGAGCAGCTATGAATAAATATCATTTCAGCAGATGGATCACTTGATGACATGATGCAGAATAATCCAGTCAGTGTTCATGCTGATTTTTGTTCCTTTATCTTTACAAAGTATGAGAGAAAAAAGTTCATTTTTGGGTTAAAAATCAGTGTGGAATCAGAGAGAAATTCACAGGTTAGATTTGGGTCCGCTGTTGACAGGAATTGCCCTGAGCTCAGTCCGCATGCACAGGTACTCTCCGATCACAGCCATCAGCGCCATGCAGGCTACGTTGACGAGCCACCAGGAGAGGGCGGAGGGAAGGTGGGAGTTGTAGATCCAACATCCGATCATGTGAAAGAAGTGCACGGTGACCGTGAAGTCCAGGCATTGTTTCCCTCGGCGGATGAAGAACCACAGACCGAGGGCGCTGGGAAAACAATCAGATGTGGCTGGTTATTTTAGACGAGACAAAATGTTTCTAACATAACCTTGGACAATTTGCAAAAAGACACCTGCAACAATGTATTTAAGCTTTATAAAACTACACTTTCAGGGTCCTATGGTGGGGCGGCTGTGGTAGAGTGGTTAGGGGAGTCGTCCTGGAACCGCTAGATCTCAGTTGTTGTGTCCTTGGGCAAGACACTTCATCCCTAATGCCTCTGATGTGTGTCCCATCAGTGTATGAATGTGATTAGCACTGATTAGTCTCCATAGCTGAYTTGTACATGTTAGCTTTTTAGGGAGACCTAATAGAGTGCTGTGTGAATGGGTAAGTGARGGCACAGATTGTAGTGTGAAGWGCTTTGAGTGTCCTGGTTGGATAGAGAGGTGTTATATAAGTACAGACCATTTACCATATGACAGGACAATAAATGAAAAGAAAAAAAGTTTAAATTCTTGTCTTTTTTAAGCATGTCACCTCTACCACCTTTTGTCAAAACAAGTACTTTCCCACTAAATTGGAGTCTACCTATTTGGACATAACCATCCAGAGATGCTAAACTTCAAGGATTAAGACAAGCTAAATAAAAAGAAATTATATTTATAAATTTTAACACTAYTGACTTAACTGATGTGATTAATTAGCAGCAAAGGTGGAGGGAAATGACTAGTGCTCTTTGAAATGTTTGTATTGTGACATTCAACAGAAAACAACTGAAGCCATATCTCACCAGGTAAGAGAGTTCAAGATGAATGCCATCATAGAGAGCCTGCCTTGCATGGTGGCAAAACCGAGAACCTGACAAAGACATTGTTTAAAAACACCAAATTAAACGTGTCAAAARCATGACGGGAAATGATTTTMCAGTTTGAGCAACRAGCTTACATCGTAGCTGAAGATCTGATCCAGCGATCGACTACTCTGTACAAGGCTGTCCACTCCAGCCAACCACAGGCCCAAGAAGCTGTAGTAGATGCACTGCATCAATACAATCTGACAGATGATGAGGACCGGGTCCCAGATGTAGCTGCGGAAGTTACTGGCCATCGCTGACTGATGTTACACACGCAGGCTTTAAAAGGATGCTAGCAGCTGCCTCCCAAATGTCACCGTCTGGCCCATTCAGTACAGATCTGTATGTGACTTTATAATCTGAAGAGCAAAGTGAAAGGAGCTCCATTAAGTCAAATCTTARGTTTTAATTTAAAACGATCAAAGCTGACTTCCGGCAAAGTGACAGAAAATAAATTGACCTGCTTGTATTAAAGAAAAAAAAAAAAGCATTAACATCAGCCTAACTTTGCTAAACCAGTTTCATAAGAGAAATGAACACAACGAATTATCATAACATCACATTCAATGAAAACAGAGACACATTTACAGTAAACGTAGCTGACGACCAAGTAAATAAAGGGCTAACATAAACACACAAAAACACCGTGTTCTGTGTTAGCATGTTAGCAAACATCCGTGTGTAAATATTTTAGAGAAAAAAAGACAAACACACCTGAAAACTGTAACACGGAGGCTTAAAGCTCCTCTATGGCCGATATTTATTTTGGTTATTGATGGTTTCTGTCTGGGTTGTTTCCGTTTTTAAGGTAATTTAACAAGCTAAACCTTGTACACAAACACGTCACAGGAACGGACCGGAAACAAAACCTCTTCTTCTCTTCTTCTTCTTCTTCTTCTTCTTTTCTATTATGGCGGACCGGAAGCAAGTTCAGGGTGCATACCGCCACCTACTGTACACGGGTGAGAAGCAACACTACTTTACATCACTTAAATCCTATTTTTTAGTTTTGTATCATAGAGTGCATGTACAGAAGCAGTAAAAATAGGTTAAAATATGTTAATGAAAAAAATCTTCGTGTACTTAAAATACATAGGAGGTCTGGTGTATCTATCTATCCACCTCATCACAAACGTTGCACGAAATGCAAAATAAATAAATAAATAAATAAATAAATAAATAAATAAATAAATAAATAAATAAATAAATAAATAAATAAATAAATAAATAAATAAATAAAAGAGTTAATTAATTAAATATGGAAGCTCACATAAGAAATAAGAAAAAAAATCCTTTCAGAAAGATTTAGCAACTTTTAAATCAAGAATTTAATATCACTGCACAGGGAACCCAACCCCCCTGTTGTTCTTGTTTGTGATAATTGATCWAAAAACTATTGTCACTGCACTGAGCAAAGGTCAACCCACATGTTTAACAAATGGGTCAGCTTTAACTGATGAATGTTTTACACCAAACCAATGGAACAAATGCCTTTTTTTTAAAACGTCTACAACACATCTTTGTAATAAGCTTTCTTGTGAGTATTCTGTTCTATTTCATTTGGTATTCATTTTATTTCAATATAAATTTACATTTGCTTTATTGTTGATGTTATTATTGTTGTTATTATTATTGATGTTGCTGCGCTTGTTGGAAAATCTGTAAATTACAAACAATCCGTACAACTTGACATGAATGTATTTTCCTTGAAAAATTATGCCTTAGGGCTGTGGATTATTAAAAAATGTTGAATACAGTAGGTCATCTGGAAGAGGTTTTTTTTTTCTCTCTTTTTCTTCTGGGTGGTGGGAGGGGGGTCATCATCTCTCCAAGAGAGTTATTCATCCTTGTCAGGGCCTTCACATGGTGGACAAACAAGTTTAACTATGATCAAAACTGGTATTGATATGCAAAAGTGGACCATTAGCCGATCGTCAGTGCCCTGATTATCACCTATTGTCACTCTTGTAATAACACAATTGTAAGAGGGAGACAAGGAGGAGACCTCCCAGTGCTAAACCGCAGCTTACATGCTGCTCTCTGAACCCATTGAAAGGACTATATGGTCCTGTATGGTCCTGTATGGTCCTATATGGACTCTATATGGTCTGTGTCTGAAGCAGGGGGAGGGTGAGTGTGGGCCACTGTGCGCCTGTGCCGCGAGCGACACGGACTCAAAAGAAAGCATCAATTCCATTACGCTGGTATCGATTCGATATCAAGTACCATCTTGGTATCGATAGTATCGAGTACTTCAATGGATTGGAGTGATTGATCAAGGTGTAGACACGTCATTTTAAACTCGTCCTTTAACTCTTCTTCAGTCCTCCTGTTTCTGCTGAAACTCAGCCTGCTCTGTCGGTTCAGACATCTGACGGTGAGGAAAAACATTCATGCAACTTATAAACTCGACAGAAATATCCGCTGTTTGTTTTTCTCTTGTATTCAGTCACTTACAACTCTTGGGTTTGTTGTTGTTGTTTTTGTACACTGTTCAGCCCGGCAGTCATGCGTTTTTATAAACTTTCACCAGCTGGATTTGCTCTGTTCTCTCTGAGGGATCCGGAGATTTTCTTTAAGTAAATAGTTTGTCTTCTGATTGAAATATGCACRTAGGTTTATTTAATTCTTAAAATCAGCCAATCTTACCATAAATAATCTAAAAACAACACTAAGATTCCTGATTGAGTCATTGTATTTCACTGCTAAAGCAGGTCAGATAAAAAAAAATAGTTTCTGTTCAAAGGTTATGAACAATAAACTTGTAGATCGCTGTTTGATGTCCCCACCCATTTTGGGTAGTTTTAAAACAGATTACCTGCTGTTTTTGCACTTTTTTATTAGAAAAACAAATACTTTAAAAACTGATCTCTTTTGACAGTGGATCCATGTGGACAAGTTTGGTTTTTAAGCTTACATTAAAAAAAGTTCCCTAGACAAACAAGAAGTCAAACCTTTTTTTTAAATAAGCCATGATTTTAAAGCTTCATTGTCCGTTTTCCAGCCTTTACATATGAATGTAGCCTGGCCCTTGCCTTCCTAAGCAGCTCCGCTCAATTCTAGTTTCCTCCACTGCTCAGTCTGGGATTTCTCCCATAGACAAGGATTTCACTGGTGGAGTTTTAGCCGGGCCAATCAGAGAGCAGAACGTCAATGTCCTGCGCAGTGTCTGCTAGTATGTTAGCAGTGGAGGAAGTGAATGAAGCCAGTCTGTGTTGATGAGGCTTCCAAATTAAATTAAAATTGTCTGACACAGCAGCAGCTCTCATTTACAGTCGTTTTGTTTGGCTCGATATACAGTACATGCTGCGCTGCGTGATTTCCCCCTGCTAAAGCCAGAGCTTGTAGGACTTGGAAATAAAGTCTTGCTGACTTCTGATCACTTTGACTGGAGAAATGTTTTCTGATTTTAAAACTTTGGCTGAAGTGCTGTTTGTTATTCCAACAGTGTCGCAGCAGAGCGCGGGTTAGTCTTCAGAACCACTGGCGCAGATGTGCGCAACGTGAGATTTTCCTTAGAGATATTTTATTGCATTAATCAAATATACTCGTTTTCTGTTTTTAGTTGAAATTTTTAACACCGTGGCAGCGGTGCATTGTGACGGACTGCATCTCTGCCTTTCTCTTTTCTCTCGTCCTCCTGCAAGGGAGGCAGAGACAGAAATAAAAAGGCATTATCTAATGCTGCAAACTGCAGCCACTAAATAACG